TTAAAATAAACCTGCTACAGAAAACCGTGTTAAGAAGTAATAACAAGAGCGACACACACACACAGGAGACACGAGTCAAGAATTATGTAAAGTTTCTTGTAAAAAAATGTTACTGGTTATCCTGGGCCTACATTGTGTTAAAAGATATCATTTTTTTTAACAATAACATGATATGAAATAAGGAAAAAAAAGTGCGCGTTCATGCACATTGGAAAAATGAAAAACTTTCCTCTCCCTTACAAATAAGAAAATATAAATCAAATTAACCTTGAACTGCAAAAAAGCTCTTTTTAAAACAAACAATATTACCCACGTGGATGTAAAGTTTGTTATGAAAACAAATAAGTCACCAAACACATGTAAACAAATAAGTCACCAAACACATGTAAACAAATAAGTCACCAAACACATGTAAATAAATGCATTAGTATTCATTATTCTTCCTTTTCTTTTCTTTTTTTTTTTTTTTAAAATCGAGTTCACCCCAAGCAAGGCAATAAAACCACCAAGATGAAAGGGGTTAGTGAGTGTGGAAGATTTAGTCACGGCAACATTGCTAAGAAGCGAGAACAGAGGAAAGAGTAACCAGGAGGACAGTAGATAGCGACTGACATTCCATTTAAATTTTTGCAGATTAAAGTTGACTGGAAAGCACGGAACCAGATGGGAGTTCCACAAATGAGAAGTGCGAGAAAGGAAACCGTTAACATAGAACTTACAGTTGCATCTAGCCAGCTAACCATAAATTGGCATCACCAATTTAGTAATGCGCTTAAATTCGAAGAGTCTATCATCACGAAGAGCCCATCCGAACAATTACTATGAAAGTATTTATAGAAAATGCAAAAGGATGCAAACTTACAGCAGTGTGAAAGTGACTGAAGCCAAAATTCCAGATCAGAGTCAATAATATTTCTGCTAGGAGTTCTAGATAGAGAGTAGAAGCATTGAACTATATTTGGCAGCAATATTCTACATATGGACATGTGGAAGACTTATAGATATGTAAGCTAGATTCTGGAGAGACAAACCGTCTAGCACAACACAGTGAACCAACCTTCCTGGCAGCTGTCCTAGCAATGGATTCAGTATAGACTTAGTTTAGTTTTTCCGTTTGTGCTGTAAGGCGTCATGGGGAGTGTCTTCTTGGTCTGCCTCTCGCTCTCCAGACAGAGTACCTGAGGATGTATGCTCGTGGGGCTGGTTGGTTGATAGGCATATGAGTGATGTCCGAACCACTTGATCCTTTGTCGTTCGATGTGTTGTATGATTGGTATTGCTCCTACCATATCTCTTATTGCCTCATTCCTGAACTTGTCTCGCCTGGTCTTGTTCACTGCTTTGCTCAAGCATTTCATCTCACAAGTGACCAGTTTCCTCTCAAGTTAGGGGCCATGTCTGACACTGGTATATCAGCGTTAGTAATATTAGGTTGTTCCAAAAGTTCGTAAACACTTGTAAAAAATTGAATTTTTATGCAACAGAATCCAGCACAATCGAGACAAGCGATGGGTTCAGAAAGTGCAAGAGACACCGTCGGTTCCAAAACAAGATCGATTCGGCAAGAAAGTCATGTTGTGCGTTTGGTGGAACTTTGAAGGAATCGTGCATTTTGAGTTGGTTCCGAATGGTCATGCCATCAGTGCCGAACTTTACTGTCAGCAACTGGAGCAGGTCTACGAAAAGTTGAAGCAAAAGTACCCGGCTCTGATCAACCGAAAGCGTGCTTTGATGCAGCAGGACAATGCCAAGCCACACACCGCCAGGAAGACCAAAGACAAGTTTGAAGAGCTGGACGGCATTGAGGTTCTGCCACATCCAGCCTACAGTCCTGACTGTGCTCCATCAGATTACAGCCTTTTCCGCTCAATGCAACACTTTCTGAAGGGCCGCCGATTCGACTCATTTGATGAAGTAGAGGAAGCGTGTCAAGAATTCTTTGATTTGAAGCCGGCTGAAAGGTACTTTCACCAGATCCGAAAGCTTGCAGATCGATGGCAGAAAGTCTTGGAAAATGATGGTCTTTATTTTGAGGAATAATTTTTGTTATTACTTGGCGAGTAAAATTTCAGTTTTTTGTAAGTGTTTACGAACTTTTGGGACAACCTAATAAAAAGGTGTTGATGAGATTTACCTTGGTGCTCATGGATATTCAAGGATGTTTTAGAAGAGGAGCAAGTTGGTAATACAGTCTTTACTTAAAAAGGGTAAATACTCGAAAAGTTTCAAAGATAAAAAATGGAATAGTAAAAGAAAAAATACTTCACTTCAAAAGGGGCCTTCCCATATCGCTATTGTATTTGTCTGAAGGAATTTTTGGCCTCAATCTTTAATGACTGGATAACGGCTGAGAATTTTTTTTTTTGGTCTCTGGAATCGCTGGTAAGAATTTGGTTTTGAATTTGGGGTGAAGGACCAGCAATTTAAACCTGAGATCAACAGTGTATCCTGAAGGTAGAAATTTTGGACTGTGACTTATATGTTAAATTCTTAAGTAGACATGACGACACCTTTGAAGAAAGTGATTGTCTGGTGGTAACTTCACATTTAACCAGTATATATCCAGTCTCATAGGCATACCACCGAAAAAACATCGAAGGGGGCTAAGCGACTACTCGACGATAGGCCAGAAAATGAGGCACGTTCTCAAAACCCAGAAATTCCAAGGTAATAAATTTGAAATAAAAAAAATGATTATATATATATATATATATATATATATATATATGACACTGAGGCCATGAATTGGTTAAACGTTGATTAGGAGTAGCAAAGAGTTAAGCCTAAAATGGAATATAAGAGAGAGAGAGGAGACATTTTCCTTCCCTTAAGTAGAAAAGCGTCCTTGTGGATCTCTTCTCTCCTAAAGTTTTTTTTTTTTTATTTATCGAGGGTCTGGCAAAACAGATTTGGAGAAATCATTTTATCTCTTCCTTGAGGAAATAAGAAAACATGTATCATTAATGAGAAGGGAGACAGACAGTGCATATATTTTTAACGAAAACGAATTGGAAACTTTAAACAAAGAATGAAACCGATGAGCAGGTGATCTAGTTTATATATATATATATATATATATATATATATATTTTTTTTTGCTAGACAGAGATAAGTCCCAGAATGGAGAAATAAGTTTATCTCTTCCTTGTAAATTTAAGCAAACAAATATCGATGGGCAGGGGAGTGGATATTTGGATTATATTCTCACTGACAAAAACAAATTGGGGAAATGTAAACAAGGAACAAACCTTTTTAAGAGGGTCGAAGTTATGAAAACAGTGTAGTCTCGGACAAAAATATTCTCGTAGAACCTGCATAAATGAGTCCGAGCTTGTCTACCTTCCCGGACGAAACTTTGCCCTTCGGCAAAGTCTAGTCCAGTTCCTATCTTCAAAAGGCAGAGAGTTTGACAGTTGAACAGGCTATATCACTGTTCCCACCGAGGCTTACTTTTCCTACTAACTTTATTGTAAGTGGAAGAGTCCATAATAGACTCATTAGAGGGAAGACACTACAACACTTTGAAATCTTTACACACACAAGATATCTTAATTATTAAATTTGCAATTTTTATAACATGGAGTTATCATTTACACTTAGACTAATATCCTCATCTTTGGTGTTTTCATCACAATATTTCACCAGTTATGTTCTCAGGCTTTTTTAAGTGTCTGTCAACCAAGGTAACCTTAAATGAATTTGTTTTCTTCATTTTCTATAGCTTATCAACTCTTCTTAGATTATGAGATTTTTTTTAAGATAATAATGATTTAGTGATACAGGTCTTACTAATTAACCCATAGCTGTGGGGAGGAAAGGTGGATTCATAGCTTTCCCAAGAGTACTTGCACATAAGTCAATATAACAAACTTAACTGGAATTGGAACTCGGCTTTGTGATTAACAATTCTGAGACAATACCAATTGCATGACCAACATATCCATGCTTACAACACCTGATATTCCCAAATGGTCACCTATCTAGGTTATGACCAGACTCTGTATTGCTTAACTTCAGTTATCATATGAGAACAGGTGTTTCAACATTATGAGTCTGAACTGAATCTACAGGAGTAGACTGTTCTCATTGCATCCACCATACTTAAGAGTATCTCACCCTGTTCTCTTTTAGTGTTGGGTAGGAGACACACACTCAGTGGAGACACACACTCAGTGGAGACACACACTCAGTCTCATGATGTGGTGCTCAACTTTTAAAATATAATGGCTGGACATTGGTATTAGCCTTCCTCACAGTTGGATAATATATACTTTTTCCCCTGGAATAAAACAGTTTCCTTTTGTTTCCTCACAGAATACACCTAGTGATGGTTGGAGAAAACATTAACAATGGTGGGTATAAAAAGAAAAAGTTCTATTGTCCAAGCATATTGGTTGAAGAAGGAATCTTTTTTTTCTTCTTCCTTCAGTCTTTAAACTCTTGTTGTCAAGGTTGCAAAAATCATTTTGCAAAAAAAAAGAAATACAGTAAAATCAGTCTTATCAAAATTCAGATGCCATTTCTTGTCATAATTTAATTGAAATTTAATAATTAAAAAAAAAAAACATTTTCCAAATTTTTATTTTTTTATTTGACAAAAAATAAAATTAAAACAATAAAAAAACAAAAAAAGATCAAGAAATTCTTTTTTTTTTTATTAAATGGTCCACTTATCCTTGAAATGCTTGTAAAATCACAAAATGTTGAATGTTGTGATCATTTATTTTTTGACAGTAGACCACAAAAGTGGTATCTTGTTATCAACAAGAAGAGATGACAACAGGAGAACCTAAATTAATATGTGGTCCGATAGAAATGTAACAAACATAAGTAAACATTTTTAAAAAAAGAACAAAAAACAACTTGATCTTTGTTGTGATTGCTAAGAAAAAAAAAGCCAAAAGAAAAAACAATATATTTTTTACTTGTACGTTGATTTTTCAGAGTTGCTCTCAAAATATCACAGCAGTTGATAAAGAACATCATTTCTTTTCCATCTTTCATGTTAGATATCGTGTTAAGATATTCAGCACGTCTTTGTCTGCTTTCAAAAGAACGGTCACTGTTTTTGCCACCAGCTTCATGTGGAGCAGGTAAATGACAGACCCAATGAACTGACCACTCAACAGGGCTTCTCCATCTGCAACGAGAGAGTGACAGAAAACATTGATCACAGAGACATGGCTGCTCATATTTTACAAATACACTTTGGAAAATATTCTCCAACATCTTTTTTCTTTCATTCTGAATTTTTTAAGATGAGAAGTTTACATTATTTACACCTATATCTTCAACTTTGTTATTATTACAAGGTTTTAACTATAGCACTCACCTGTCTTTTTCAGGTGTCTATCTGGATAATCTTCAAGGGATTTGAAACTGAATTATTTAACCTCTTGGGGTAGACTGTTCTCATGCCTACAGGAAGAACTACCAATGTCCACCCCAAATTGTAGCATATGGTGAACTCTCAACTGGACAACGTCACTAAGATGCCCAAAATTGTTCCCACCCTCCCCAGTCTTTTTAACAAGAGTAGAAATTTATTCCTTGTTCCCAGTTTAGGATTGGGTTTCTGGTTCCTTCTAAAGTATTTTCATTCTCTCTCACTCCCAGTAGCCACTTGCATCTTAGTGGCATTATCTCCTTGCTTGAGGTGAATTAATTAAAAAAATGAAAAAGCATGGTGAACAAAATTGTAGCTATGATGAACACTCCACTGGACAATATGTCATTGGGATGGCCCAAAAGAAATAGTCTCTCTGAAGAAATCTCTCAGCATTTGTCACATCGACTATCAGTATTATGGCCTAGCCCCAATCCAGTAGACCTGTTGTCTTATTTTCCATTGAGCTGTTAAATCTACTCAAAAAGAACACAGGCCGAACCTGATGGACAGGAGTAAACAGAGATAAAAAAAAAAAAATATCTATGTCAACCATGTCCCTAGAGTACCAAGCCTAGACCAAAACCTCCCTGAAACTGGAGCTGCTTGTCTCACATTGGACTGGTCAGCAACTGGTGATCCTGGAGAAGATTTCCTTGATCTTCATTCATTTTGCCTGTATCCGTTTACAGTATATAAAATACAGAAGGTGCAATGTTAAACACAATCTATTGTCTATAAAAATAATTAATGTTAAAAGTTTTTGAATACATGCAGCCTAGTTGCTCTTAACAGAAACAAAATAATTAAATTCCTGTTTACAAAATTGTGATGTGATTGCTTTGACTGTTACTCTCCTAGATACAGATTCATCCTTTCATGGGAAAGCAGTATGGATCATTCCTGATACATGGAACCACCATAGCCTCTTATTTCATTTAGCAATTCCAAACAAAACACAGGTGATTTCGGAAGACTATGAAAAACAAAAGAAAATTGTGATGTGTTTGAATTGAAGCATTATGGATCACTCCTGATACATGGAACCACCATAGCCTCTTATTTCATTCACCAATTCAAAACAATACACGGGTGATTTCAGAAGACTATGAAAAAGAAAAGAAAATTGTGATGTGTTTGAATTGAAGCATTATGGATCATTCCAGATACATGGAACCACCATAGCCTCTTATTTCATTCACCAATTCAAGAGGTGATTGAGAAAACTATGACAGAAGAAAGAAAATAATATAAATTTGTGCCTACAAAAAATGAAGTATCAAAAGTATGGTTTTTCCCTTGACACCACTATTATTTTAACTACCTCCACTCCTCAGCAATGTTTATTCTTTTACAAATCAATGAATAAAATTGTAATAAAACATATGAAAGTGAAATGACACATTTTCTTTGTTCTTGATAATTAACAACACTATTTATTTATTTATTTGATTGTTTACTAGAAGGTTGGCAAAACATCAAATAATGGTCAATTGATTTGAATTTTTCAAAATGGTAAATAATAAGGATTTACTCATATTTGGTTCGCATATTTCAATAATTTAGTAAATGTTTATAAATTTATGAATAAAAAATTGTTTTCATATTTATTTCTTCATAAATTGGTAAATGATAAATATTTCATTGCATTAGTTTTTAGAATGTTGTAAATATAAAATGATTATTGTAAATATACAATCTAATAAATAAATATTGTTTAATATTTTTGCTGTAAATTATCAAGAAAAAAAAAATGTAAAAAATTCACCATCATCATGTTTAGGTTTTATTACAATTCTAATCATCGTTTTTAAAACAACATTGTTGAGGAGTGAAGGTAGTTAAAATAATAATGGTGTCAAGAAAAAAAAACATCCTTTTGACACTCCATTTTTTGTTGGGCATGAAGGTCCACGTCTACCAAAAATCCTATGTTTCTATCTTAGTATAAAGCTAGCATGAGAGGCACACAGTAAGAATCAAACTCATTGAGTTTGACATGAGCTGTAAAACAATCTTGTTAACAATGCTCCATGGTAAAGACCTCATGTTCTTAGTCTTATTTTGGAGCTAAGAAGAAACAGTTTAAAGTGAGAATTGGTCAAATTTGGTTTCTTGAAATCAAGTTTCTAAGAAATGAATCTTAAATGTTTCTGAACACATGCAGCTAAAGTGGAATAGCTCTTAACAGTTATAAATTACAGTGTCATCCTGTGGACTGAAGCAGTATGGATGACTTCTGATACATGGAACCACCACAGCATCCCGATGTACGAATGCTCCTCATATAGGGAACAACCATAGCCACCCGATGTATGGATCACTCCAGATCTAGTGAACCACTGTTGCCTCCCGATGTACGGATCACTTCTGATATGCGGAACAACTGTAGACTCCCAATGTACGGATTGCTCCGATATAGGGAAACACCATAGCTTCCCGATATTCGGATCGCTCCGATATAGGAAACCACCATAGCCCCCTGATGTTCGGATCGCTTCGTGTACATGGATCACTGTAGCCTCCCAATGTTTGGATTGCTCCTGATATATGGAACCACCATAGCTTCCCGATGTATGGATCACTCCTGATATAGTGAACCACTGTAGCCTCCCAATGTAGGGAACCACCATAACCTCCCGATGTACAGATTGCTTCTGATACACGGAACCACTGTAGCCTTCCGATGTACAGATAACTCCTGATATAGGAAACCACAGTAGCCCCCCGATGCACGGAGCCACCATAGACTCCCAATGTACGGATCACTGTATTATAGGGAACCACTATAGCCTCCTGATGTTTAGATCGCTTCTGATACACGGAACAACTGTAGACTCCCGATGTACGGATCGCTCCAATATAGTGAACCACCATAGCCTCCCGATGTTCGGATTGCTCCTGATATAAGGAACCACCGTAGCCTCCCGTTGTTCGGATCACTCCTGATATAAGGAACCACCGTAGCCTCCCGTTGTTCGGATCGCTCCTGATATAAGGAAGCACCGTAGCCTCCCGATGTTCGGATCGCTTCAGATATAGGGAACCACGTAACCTTCTGATGTTCAGATCGCTCTTGATATAGAGAACCACCGTAGCCTCCCGATGTACGCAACCATCATAGACTCCTGATATAAGGATCGCTCCAATATATGGAACCACCATAGCTTCCTGATGTTCGGATCACTCCAATATAAAGAACCACCATAGCCTCCCGATGTTTGGATCACTTCTGACACATAGAACTACTGTAGCCTTACGATGTACAGATCGCTCCGATATAGGGAACCACCATAGCCTCCAGATGTTTGGATCGCACTGATATAGGGAACCACCGTAGCCTCCCGATGTACAAATCACTCCTGGTATAAGGAACAGCCATAGCCTCCCGATGTATGGATCACTCCTGATCTAGTGAACCACTGTAGCTTCCCGATGTACGGGACCACCATGACCTCCCGATGTACGGATCACTTCTGATACGTGGAACAACTGTAGACTCCCGGTGTACAGATCACTTCGATATAGGGAATCCCCATAGCCTCCCGATGTTCGGATTGCTCCGATATAATGAACCACTATAACCTCCCGATGTTCGGATCAATCCGATATAGGGAACCACCATAGCCTCCCGATGTTAAGATCGCTTCTGATACATGGAACCACTGTAGCCTCCCGATGTTCGGATCGTTCCTGATATAGGGAACCACCGTAGCTTCGCAATGTATGGATCACTCCTGATATAGTGAATCACTGTAGCCTCCCGATATAGGGAACTACTATAGCCCACAGATGTTCGGATTGCTCTGTTGTAGGGAACCACCATATTCTCCCGATGTACGAATCACTTCTGATACACGGAACCACTGTAGCTTCCCGATGTACAGATCACTCCTGATATAGGGAACGACCATAGCCTCCCAATGTACAAATCGCTCCTGATACAAGGAATTACCATAGCCAGCATGGTAAGCAGCCAGTAATAATCAAACTCATTGTGATTGTTATGAGTTGTAAAACAATCTTGTTGACAATACTCCATGCTGAGGCACTTATGTTTTTAACCTTATTTTAGAGCTAAGAACAAACAATTTAAAAGGAGAATTGGTCAAATTTGGTTTCCAGTAATCAAAGGGCTAAGAAATTAAGAGTATGCCAAGATGATACTTACCCTTGTAGTATATGCAATGGGCAGGTATGATCTGACACAATCTACTGATGAAGGTGCCAAGAGATTGTGATTCTGCTTGCTGTATCGTTACCTTTTCTGAATGGGAGAACTTGAGCCATGATTCTGTAAATTCTTCCAGTGTCAAGATGTGAGGCCTAAAATGAAATGAATGAGAAATCAACACTCTAAACACAATTTGATTTTTGATTGTCATCTTGAATTTGACATTAGAAAGAGATGCAAGAAAGAAAAAAAGGAATGACACAACAAGAAATGCAGTAATAAAAAACATTATGGAACAGAGACGTAGCAGCCATGCATAAAATAAGAAAATTAATAGGATGACAGAAAACATTGTGTTTAAAAGATGCCTAAAGCTTAAAAAAGATGTAATCATCATTGGTAAAAAATAGGTACTTCAAAGAAGGAAGTAATACATGGAAGAGTTCATCCATTAAAACAGACGAGACAAAAATATTTTTTAAATGTAAATAGAGAAGTCTTATATGTCAAATTGAGGTATTTGGTAGGCCAATGTTTACCCAAACATCATAGACTACCAGGAAATTGTAAATGATCTAACTTCATAATGCTATATGTGAAGTTAAGGTATCTGGTAGGCCAATGTATACACAGACACCGTAGACTACCAGGTAATTGTATCTAGTCAAACTTCATAATGATAGCTCTTCTGATCGCCTGCAGATTGTGCTGCAATATCAAATATTGGAACATATGAAACGTTTAGCTGCTTGAAAGTGGGAAATGAGTAACTTAAATGCCTCTCTCTCTCTCTCTCTCTCCATATATATATATATATATATATTAAGACATTTTTTATGTTTATACATTCTTTTTATATTTAAGTAAATGCTCTGTTTATAATAAACAGTATTAAAAACATTTACCAGCCTGAATGTCCAAGAAACTTTCATAGAAAATATGCATCCTCCAACAGGAATTGAACCTGTATCCTATATGGAACCATCATATAGCATGATGTGTCTTAATCGACTGGGCCACAGAGGATCGTTCGGTTAGCAAGGTCGATTTTATGGTTTTTAAAAACAGTAAAATCTTGCTAACTGAAGCGTTCTTTTTATAGATACAAATATTTAAGTAAATGCTTTGTTTATAATAAACAGTATTAAAAACATTTACCGGCCTGAATGTCCAAGGAATTTTCATAGAAAATATGCATCCACCGACAGGAATCGAACCTGTATCCTCTATGGAACCGTCATATAGCCTGACGTGCCTTAACCAATTGGGCCACAAAGGATCGTTCAGTTAGCTAGGTAGAGTTTACTGCTTTTAAAAACAGCGAAATCTTGCTAACCGAAACAATCCTTCTGTGGCTAAAACCACGTCAGGCTATATGACGGTTCCGTATAGGATACAGGTTTGATTCTGTCAGAAAGGGCGATATTTTCTGAAAAATTCTTGACATTCAGGCTGAAATGTTTTTAATACTGTTTAATATAAACAAACACTAAATATTGTATGTATAAAAAAAGAAAAAATAAAAAAAATGTCTTAAAATAATTGTCATTATTTTTGTCCATTAATAATGTATGACAAATATATATATATATATATATATATATATATATATATATATATATATGTATATTAACAGTTTTTAAACATATTACTGTTCTTAGACCAAAGTTATAGACAAAATATTAAAGAGTAAAAGGTTTTAACAGACCTGGCAAAATCAATCCATATTAAAGGTATGCTAAACTGTATTGAGCTTTGAGATTCAAAATTTTGCTCTGTCAGTTGAATAAGTCCCTGAATGGAAAGAATATCTGTTTGGATCTCAGTTGGTTGCAGATACACTTTAGAGTAAATAGGGAAGGTAGCACCTGTTTTTGGAATGTGCCCCTGAAATCCTGCGACATCAGTCTTTGACCATTTAATTGATGCAGCCTCCTGAAAAACCAAAAAAAAAAACCAGAACTGAGCTTTGAAATAATAATAGGCTATTTTTTTGGCTGCTTCGAATCATCTGATGAGATCAATTGCTATATAATCAAAAAGACAAGAGTAAAAAGTATTCTTTGCTGATGCATTTCATCCTCTGAAAGGTCAGTCAAAGCATATGGAAGACACAAGGTGTCATAATCCAAAATTTGGTAAAATTAAGCGAGTAATATTCAAGGGATATTTATTTATTTAAATTTTTTTTTTCTTTTACTAACCTACATGTTCTGAATATGTGTCACATAGGTTCTGAATAAATTTGTAACTATTTCAGATAACAGTGATGTTGGAATTTCTGGGTACCCTGCAGTACTAGTGAGCTAGCCAAAATGAGCGGACTCAATTTACAGTTCACCGATAGAACGGTTAACCAATCAGAAGGCTCAAAATATTCAAGGCAGCCATTTTGTTTTTCTCCAAAAATATCTTCACTGCCAACCTCTGATATCGAAGACCTGAAGAATTACTGAACAGCTGCTACTAGTGATATTGGTGTTGTTCCATTGAACACATTACGTACTGCACTAGAGTCTATATTCAAAGACTACAGCAAACATGGTCAACAAGTGAATATTTGGTAACCAAGGCACCAAACATCTCTTAATTTTTACAAGAGTAAGAAAACTGAAAAACAAAATTTACCGTTTCAACAGAAGGCATCAAACATTCTGAACATTCCAATGATATTGTGTAGTCAGTGGGCAGAGCATCAGCAGTTCTGTTGTCCAAAAATAAAATAACACAAAGTCCAGAAGTTGTGTGCATTTTACAAAATTGAAGAATTAAATTGTCTAAAATGGCAAGAGGAGCAAATACAGAAAGGGGAATATCCTCAGGGTTTTCTTCTTCAACAATGACTGAGGGTTGGGCGGGTTGAGCAGGTAAAGGAGTGTCAAGGTAGACATAATCAGTTTCCAGTCTGGATGGTGGGTCAGTGGCTTTAGCTGGAATGGC